GGTAAAAATGCTGCCACTTTCTCAAGTCCAGCTCATCATGCCAGGATGTGCACATGAAGGTTGTGATGACGTTGTCAGTGGTGAAGCTACGCCTTCCAGGGGGATGTTGTTAGACGAATAGCAGCTCTTGTTTTCTAAATGTGTGGTGCAACTGTAGAGAATGTTAGATTCACTGGTGGTGTTGGAGAATTTAACAGTGGAACAGTTTCTACATCTTAGTTGTTCTATGAATGGTAGGTAGCTCAGGCTGCCTGCAACTAAAACACATCTTGCTTCCAAATGATGAAGATCAAGCTGATCCAAAGGTTGGACCAAGTCTTTACAGGCCAGAGGAGCCGAATGACTCAGAGACATTAAGCAGAGACCAACATTACACACTGCAAACTTAACTTTGTATGTTGAAATCATGATCTGCTGTTTTAGAGGTATCAGTTGCAGTGACGTAGCTAAATAAAATGACAGGTTTTCTGGATTTTTTGGTTTTCAGAAACCTTCACTGTCACAATAGTGGAAACACCAGAGAGCAGAGTGTCCATTTCACCTGTGAAATTTGTGATTGCGAAATGAAGAAAATGAGTATTGTGACTTTTGATTGTTTACTTTGGAGGTTTACTCATTGACTTTCTCTTATCCAAGGTAGCACAATGGAATCATTGTGTTAATATATTGTATACAGTATATACAAATCTTAGGACAGAATTCTGTTGTTGTACTTGAGAAGCCAGACATCACTGCAGTACTCCACACAGTTCATCACTTTATAGTCATTGACTGCCTTGAAAACTGGGTTGGTTTATCTGGTACTGTTCAGAAGTGTTACACTGCTGTATTTCAGACAGAACATTTTGTTTCAGTATGCAAGAGCATCAGCCAGGATGGCATGACCTAACCCGCAGGCCAGCCAGAGGAAGCTGCCTTGAATCATCCACCCATTATCTATACCGCTTATTCCTGAACAGGGTCACAGGGGGCTGGAGCCAATCCCAGCTGACACTAGGCGAGAGGTAGGGTGCACCCTGGACAGGTCACCTGTCTATCACAGGGATGACACACACTCACATTCACTCCTATGGGCAAATTAGAGTCACCAATCAGTCTAAGCTGCATATCTTTGGCCTGTGGGAGGAAGCCGGAGTTGCCTTGAACAACTGCTTTTCAATTTGTACAATGCTCCTAATTGGTATTGTAATCAGACAACAAAACATAAGCTTCCAGCTACGCGGGTGGTGCACGGCCATGTTTCCATTTTTCAGACACTGACAGTCTTTATATTATAATCTCCTGCCTGATGTCAATAAATCAGTGGATGCAACATTATTTATTCAAACTAAATGAAAAATTATTGATTGGCCAAAAACCTAAAAAGGACTTGGTGATAGAACTTACTAACTTGGGTGTAATCCTAGACTCTTAAAGAGCTCATTGATAGAAAACACAATGTTTCACACTGCAACACCTCTCTCCTGTGGGACGTATAATGATCCATTCATGCACCCCAACTTTCTCCTAATGGGAACTTTCTTGCTTTTAAAACTGTTAGTCAATCATATTTATTGGCATGATGCTCTTGCATACTGAATGGCATGACAGGATTTGAACTGGATATGTGTACAGTTGTGCTGCAACCTCTGTATAAAAGGTGCCACACAAATAAAAACTTGAAACTTTGCTACCCTATATTTCAGTCTGTGTCATGCTGGCTGCAAGTTAAGCATAGTAGCCCATACATCCTCCTCCATAGCTTCAGCTCTACCTGAGGGATCATGGGGCTTTCTCAGGCTAGATGGGATATGTAATACCTCTAGCATATTTTGGGGCTGCCCCTGTGGTCACCTCTCAGTTGGATGTGCCTTAAATCACAATCAGAACCCAAACATCCTCTTATGATTCATTTCAATGCAGGGGAGCAGCAGATCCACCTCAAGCTCCCTCAGGATGTCTGAGCAGCTCACCCTATCACTAAGGGTGAGTGAAAGGAATTTATTTCGGCTGCCTGTATTCATCATCTCATTCTATCTGTCACTTTCTAAAGGCCATCATCATACAGTAGGTGAGGGCTGGAATGTAGATCTGCTGATAAACCCATGGCTTCTCCTTCAAAATCAGCTCCTTCTTTACGACAACAAACATTCATCTGCATTACTGCTGATACAGCACCGACTGACCTGTTGATCTCACACACCAGCCTGTTCGCACTTGTAAACACGACACTTGAGCCCCTTCATTTGTGGCAGTGACTCATTCCCAACCTTGAAGAGTACAGTTGACCCTCATTCCCGCTCCACCGTAAATCATCTCAGTGCACGCCGGTGGTCACTGTGTGAAGAAGCGAGCAGAAGCATGTCCTCTAAAAAAAAAAAAAGTAGAAATTTTGTCCTGAGGTCACAGTATTGAACACTTTCTGTATCTTGGCTGAGCCTACAGAGTATCTCTATGAAAACCACAAACAAAATTGTTGGCAAAGGACAACTCTGGCAAAGCCCACTGAAAACTTAACTTCCTGCCAAGAATGTACAGTAGGAACAACTCTTTCTCTGCTAACACGAGGGTCTAATGGCCCATAGCAATGATCCCAGTACCCCATACTCCCACAGGTCTTGTAAAAATATACCCCGGTGGAAACAGCCATGAGCTTTCTCATAATCAAACCCTGACCTCCACCTCATGGGTCAAAAGGAGGGCAGAAAAGATTTTAGACCCCTCACACCCTGGACACAAACTGTTTGAGCTTCTCCCCTCTGGACAGCGCTACAAGTCACTGTACGCCCCTGGTCCATCACTCTGATGAACACTTACCCATGACATGTATAACAGGACAATATTTATCTGAAAATGTTTCCACCTAAAAGTGTGTGTATACTGTTCACATGTATAGATGTATACATTTATAATTCATTGTTCCCTCTTTCTTTACCTAAAGGCACATTCTTTTTCTTGCTCTCATGTTTTTCTGATTCTGATACTAAGAAAAGAGAGTCAACAGGAAAACCTCCAGTGTAAACAATCAAAAGTCACAGAACTCAGATCAGTCCTTCATTTCACAATCACAGAATCCACAGGTGAAAAAGGGACTCTGCTCTCTGTCTCTCTGGAATGGAATGTTCAGTATTGTGAAACTGCAGGTTTCTTAAAAACTATAAAACAGAAACCCCACCATTTTATTTAGCTACTTCAGTGCAACTGAGACCTGTTAAAACTACCCCAGCAACAAACAGTACAACAAACAGCGGATCATGATTTCAGCGTGCAGAGTCATGTTTGTAGTGTGTGCCGTTGTTTTCTGCTTGATGGCTCTGAGTCGTTCAGCTCCTCTGACCTGTAAAGACTTGCTCCGACCTTTGGATCAGGTTGATCTTCATCACTTGGAGGGAAGATGGGCTTTAGTTGCAGGCAGCCTGAGCGATCCAACACTCATTGAGAGATTTGGACGTAGAGACAGCGCCTCTTCTAGCTTCTTCAACAACACCAGTGAATCCAGCATCTTGTTCAAACGTATCTTGAATATGGATAACAAGTGCCACTCTTCATCCTACAACATCTCCCTGGAAGGCAGCAGTTTCACCATTAGGGATGGCAATGTCACCACAACCTTCACCCACACAACCTGCCATGACTGCATACTCTTGAGCTTTGATGTTGAATCAGGCAAGCGGCAGCATTTTTACCTGTTCAGTAGGAGGAGACAGCTGGAGCAGAGGGAGATGGAGGAGTTCAGGGCACAGGTGGCATGTCTGAACATGCCTCCACCTGTTGTGATGGATCCTACCAAGGAGCTTTGTCCAGAAGAGACACCCAGTGATCCAGCAGCTGGACCCAAAGAGAAAGCAGAGGGAAAGAAGGACTGAAAGACATTCAGAAGATATCGTTTTGATGCATTGTGTCAAAATCAGTGTGGAGGTTACATGCTGTGTTTCTTAATAGCAACTAATCTATAACTAGAATTAAATTTGTTTTTGGAGCCAACATTTTGATAAAAGTGTTTTTCAACATATGTGAAACAATTTTGCAAATTTGGTGACACCAAGGTAAATATGTAGTTTTTGCAGCTATTACAATTTTACCACAAAATGTACTGTAATATGGAAAAAATAAAAACATTACAGTTACATTTCCTTGCTATATGTTTGCACTTGTGGAGATATGACAATAAAAATATGACAGTGTCACCAGTGCTTTTTACAGACTGGATATTTTAAACTCTCCTACATTCATCGAAATATCTTGACATGCTGAGTAATAAATGCAATAGATAGATAGATAGATATTTTTCCCCACTAAGTGTCAATGCAAATTCAACAATAAACTCCAAATACAATATGTACCCTTGCCACATAGAAAGATTTTATTATGTAACTGACATTAATATGCAGTTTGTTTACTTTTGACACTACTTTTGCTGCTGTTACGCTCCATTTTAGTGTTTAAACTTTCCATGGGTGCCCTGTGTGCCCACTGTTACATAAGGTTACAAAGGTTCCTTTCAAGGGTTGTGATTTTGGGCAACATGACAAAAAACTGACTTGATGTGACAGCTTGAATTTATTCTGCTGTTCTGTAGATTACACATTTGACTGTAAATCAAAACATTCATTGAACATAGATTTATGTATTTATACCTACTGTATAGTGAATTTAATAGAAAACACTAAACACTAAAATGTATAAGCTCAGATATAAGTGGACAGGATAAAAACATTTGGCAATGTAATCACATCAGCCCTTATCCCTCGTTCGCTTGCATGGTGTAACAGTTAACATGTGTTGCTCACTAATTGGATTAGTACCATCAAATCCACAACAACAGGGTAAGCCTCGAGCACACGTGCATGCTCATTCTCCTGTATGGATTAGTGAGTGTTTGCTAGTGTGAGCATAGTATACAAATGCAAGAGTGCATGAACATTGCACAGAGGGTGTTAGTGTCCACCAGGGAGGAGATACAAGCAGCAAGGCACTAGGGCTGAGAGCAGAGAAAGTCCTTTTGTGATGCTTAAAAATCAGTGACCTGTCATTTGGCATCTTCAAAGCATTTTGTTAACAGGTATGTGCAACTCAGATAATCTGTGATTCACTCTGCTTTTTGCTACTGTACATGAGCTGTACTGTATTCCAAACAAGTGAATAAATAACAGCTCTGTTACAGAAGTAATTTCAGAAAACCATCAACACTAGCTGACTTGTTGCAGTTTTACAGAGAATACTGGAAATAGGCTCTGCTTTTTACACATTCTGTAAATCACCCTAATGAAGACCTTGTGCCAAAATGTGTCAGTGAAATAAAACAGAACTCTTCCAACAAGTCATCCAGTGTTGTCGTGTTTTGCTGTGTTTTTTCTTTTCTTTTTTCGTTTCTGGATTGTTGCTGCTGTAGCACCTTGCTGACTGGTGACATAAAGCCAGTAAAGACAGTGATGCAACTGCTCAACCTGAAATTAAAACAGTTGAACAGAAAAACTGAGAGACACTGGAAATAGTATAGTTTGGGTGAAATAAAACAGAATTCTTCCAACAAGTCATCCAGTGTTGTCGTGTTTTGCTGTGTTTTTTCTTTTCTTTTTTCGTTTCTGGATTGTTGCTGCTGTAGCACCTTGCTGACTGGTGACATAAAGCCAGTAAAGACCAGCTTGTTAACTTTTGTTACTTTTTTCCACAGTGACTAAAGCATGTTGAAGGGAGAGACTGTAAGATGTGCAGAGAACTATGTCAGCAGCCATCAGATAGCAAGCAAACTGATTCTAATTAAAGATGACATTGACTGCATTTATCGTTTGTCATATGCCCTTAAATTTGAAATCAGCTTAGGACACATCTGCCCCCAAAAAGAGGGGCAAGTTTATTTGTAAGGCCAGTCGCAAATGCATTTTTAATGATGATTGTGTTTTTGGTGTTCTTTTGATAAAGTGAGCTTCTTTGTAGATAATGAGCAAAACATAAGTCTGTTATGTAATGGAGCTTTAATTTGCAATTTCTTGCAACCTTCCTTTACTAAATGAGAGCACTGGAGAATCCGTGGTTAAGTTCTGCCAGTTTCTCTGTGTGTCTTACAAAATAAAACAAAACAGCATGTCATGATAGATTTATAATGCCATTAGTTTGTAGAGGCAAATCTGCATAAGCGACATATCCCATTAGGGCATGCCTGAGTTTGCACTCAAAGTAGTCAGATTATATTACCACGCAACAATCTAAATGCAGGTTTCACTACTGCACAGTTGCATGGTCACTGTATTTATTGATTCAGTCTTTTTTCTCTTCAACAGAATCAGCAGGTGTGGCTAAATAAAGGCAGAGATTTGCAATAGATTTCTTAACATAAGCCTAAACCATTACAACACTTTCTCACTGTGGCAAAATGCTCATTTTTATGCTGCCTTTCACAATGACACTTCATGTCATGACTCCTCAGTTAGTGGGTGACATATTATGCTACCCACTGTCAGCACATGGCCAGGTCTGGGCTATCATGCAGCAAGGCTCGTAATATTTCACCCAGCTAACATCTAAACAAATACACAATAGCCATCTCCAGTTCTTCTGCTGGGCTCTGTAAAGGCACAGTATGCTGGTTTTGTCTCTGACACAGAAATAGCTTTGTGGCAATGCCAGCTACCCAGTTGGAGGGGGAGACTGCCACTCATGCCCCATGAGAAAAAAGCCAGTCTGCCAACACCAAGGGTGCATTTTAAAATGGGCACTTAACTGGAAACAGGCTGTATATAATATATTCAAATTTATGAACATATAACAACCTTAAAACATTGTTTTCTGAGCCTGCCATAGAGGCAGGTGGAGTAGAGCCCCAGTACAGTGACGGCATGCAGCTGATGAGTGGTTCCAGTCATTGTTGATTGTAAACAATGTTTGTCGTAGTTCTCATAACCCCCCGTTCCCTGACTGTTCTCTTCTTAATTTACCCACATTAGGCCACATTGTTCTGCTGTGGTATTTACATGCTCCGCCATTATTACTGTCACAGTGTCCCCCATTCTTCTTGCCATGTCATGTTGTCAGTCCTTATTATCTCTACATGAAGGGTGGCATTTGCTGTAACTATCTATTTAGCTGCAGTAGTTATTCTATTTGTCCATCCATCCCAGTTCATCAGAGACCAGTTATCCACAGTACTGTGCTCTACAGTCCCAGTGCTGGAGTCCAAACCTGCTGTAGTGTGTTGCCAACAATCAGTCCAAACAGAGGACGACAGAGGTGTTTTGTGTGTACAGTATCTGTGTGCAGGTGAGGTGTGGAAGGCAATAACATTTATACAGGGCATGTTGGAAATAGAAAGGTGTGAGTCAAAGAAAAACTGGTATTGGAGGAGCTGGATTCCCCTTTATTAGTATACCCCACAGACAGTCCTGTTGTTTTCAGATTGTGTGTGTATGTGTGGAGCCGTTCCCCATCCCCATGAGCTGATTTAAAGAAGGTGAGTTCAGCAGAAAACTTTGTACGTTACACAGGAGTAGAATACAGCTTCTACCTTGCAGCCAAAGCCGAGCATGATGTTATAAACAGACTTCCTGTCATACTATAGAACAGTTTGACATGAAAAAAACCGGGTCATTGCTGCTCCAGTGCTGCACCAGCTATCATACTGTACACAACTCTGCACAAACACACAGATGGGTGGCACACTGAAAGAAAATAACAAAACAATATAAAGTGTCATAGTAAGCTATTTGGCCACCACAAGCCTAGAGCAGTGTAGATTTTCCAAGTCTCTGAACACTCTTCAGTCAGGGTGGCAGAGAGTGCTGTATGTCACATTACTCCAAAAATCTTACGTTTAATTAGGGTGAGATCTGACGACTGTGGAAGCAGTAACAGTTGGCTTATTCTCATTTTCATACTCATCAAATCTCATGTCCTCTGTATATCTGCATTTGTTGTGTCATAGATTTTAATTTGTCATCCATCTGTATTTAGATGATTCCTATAAAATTCATTATAGCATACAGTTTTTGTATCTCCTGATGGCTAAACTGGAAACAGAAGTTGACATTAAAACCTCATTAGACAGGCAAAACAAAAAGTTCTGTTCTCTGAATGCCAATGCTATTTATTCAGACAAGATTTTTGTTTTTATTTAATTTGGGTTTTTTTTTATGTTCTCCTAAACTGTAAATCTTTCTTTTTATTAGCTGGACCATTGCTGTGCAGGCTGAATGAGGTATGAAAACAGAGAGGGAAACATGTCCGCATAGATTACCTTAACATTTCAAAACTGTTGCACAGTAAATGTCACTGTGAATACAGCTTGATGATTCATTCTCTCGGTAGTTCTAAAGCAAGTCATTTCATCTGCGCTGAAATAATGGGATATAAAATGGGTGGCCATGTTTGTTGTTGTTGAACTCCATTAATCACTCTGTGGTTCCATTTTTGCACCTCTGTGTTCCTGTGCTTTCACTGAGACTGACTGGCTGGAGGCCAAATTTTCTGACTGGTCGAATTGGTTGTACATCACCAGACGTGTCACCATGGCAACAAAGCCTGTGGCCTGGCAGGAGCAGGGTCCTGTCAACTCACTAAACAATGAGTCCTGGGCACAGGGTGAAGTGGGTGCAACCATAAGCCACAGCTCCCCTCTGCAAGACAAAAAAGCTCCTGTAGTGGAGCCTGAAGACATCCTGGAGCCTGGAGCTCAGGATGAAACATCACAGAAGCAAACATTCTCAAGAGATGAAATAACTGCTGCAACCAAATTGGAAAAGCAAAAATCAATAAGTCTGTGTACCCCAAGTGAAAGGGGAGAATTTGTGCCAGGATTAGTTCCCAAAAAACTAGTGGAGGCATTCCAGCATCAAGAGGTATATGAAAAGGCAGCTGATCAGTGTGAAGATGTCCCTCCTTCTCCTCTCCTCAGTGCCTTAACAATAGAAGAATGCTTTGAAAAAGTGGCCTTTTCCAGCCTGGTGGGCGCAGCAGATGAGAAGATCATCTCGGACCCAACAGGCATGTCTCCTGGTAGTCTGAATAGTCAAGGGCGCCCTCAGACACCTCTGCTCACTGAACCAGTTGATCAAAAGGTAGAGTCACCACCCGAGGAGATAAGAGAGGATAGTGTGACAGCAGAGGACAATGACAAACAACTGCACTTCTCACCAGATGGCTTTAGCTACAGTGAGCCGGAAAATAATACAATAGAGGATGCTCACTATTCTCCCTTTGACAGTAACAACACAGATGATGTATACATTGTGTGCTCCCCTCCTTTTGTTGATGAAAGTGAGAAAGAAGAGGAAGTGAGCACGGATACTGCATCTTGCCAGCAGCAGAGGGGTTCACTAGATACCACAAGCAAACCCTTCCAATCCTCCTATTCTCTTCCTGTGTCAACTAAGCCAGACCCACCGGCAACCCTGCCTGCAGTACCTGCAGACAAACACCAGGTGGAGCTATTGCCTGAAAGCCAGTATGAACATACCCCCAAGGGACCAAACCAGGAAGTTGCACAACAGGTGCACTGCCCAACCTCTCCACCTTTGTTGATCATTACCATGGAGCTGTCCAGTCAGGGCGAGGCAGTTTCTCAAGGCTCTGGGTGTGTTGTAGCTGTGAGAGAAAGGCACAGCAGGGCGGGGGAAAGCACAGAGGGAGAAAGTGAACAAACAGGTGGCGAGGAAAAGCAGAAAGAGAATGCAGTTGAAAAGAGCAAGGCGACTGGGCATCAACACTGCAGAGGACTATTAGGATATTCACAAGAAGTCCAAATACAAGAGCTGAAGGGAGAAAGATATAGCAAACACAGCAGAATGAAGAGTGACTTGTGTGATGATACCCAGAGTGACAGTGGAGTATCAACGGACTTCTACCCAGGCAGCACTTTGGAGAGCAACAACATCATCTCTACAGGTACTCCCACAAAGGAGACTCCGATTGAAAGGGAGATCAGACGGGCTGTAGAGCGTGAAAACAGCCTGAGGAAGTCCAGAGGGCTTCCTAATCCCCCCACCTCCCCAGAGTATGTAGAGATCCCATTAAAGACAGCTGTTCTCAGTCAATCTTTCACTGCAAAGTCTGAGGGTTCTCAAGGCAAAGACAGGCAGTTTGCTGGCAAAATGATGTACCATGAGATCCACATGGAGACCCAGAGGGAAGAGGATCTGGTCAAGCTTGGGAAAATTCCAGGTTTGTATGACAAAGGCTCAGTTCGCCAACTAAAATACAAGAAACAGCTTTTTGAGGCCTTTCAGAAACCTGATGATTCAACTGTCTCAGCCAGGAGTAAGAGCACGTCCTCGTATTCAGCCAATGACACCTCAGCCCTGGAGAACCGGGAGGGCATCTCATCACAGGCACCCACTGTAGGAGACTCTCATGTGGAGAATAGTCAAAACACAGATGTGTTAAATCCCAAACAGAACCTCAGCTTAGTCAAACGAGGTGGTTCAACCAACTTGGCTCCTCAGGGACCAGGCTTCTCTGAGGCAACTGATTGCCAGGTCATCATCCTAGAGAGTAACCTGAGTGTCCCAGTGCAGAAGCTCTATGCCAAACAAGAGGCAAAGCCGGTCACTGTTGTCGACTCTGGAAATCCTAACATCTCATCATACAGGACAGGAGGACATGGTGGGGTGACAGGGAGCCAGCCGGAACAAGCAGAACAGGATGAAGAAGAACTGACACCCAAGGAAAACCCTTTTTTTAAGTTGCGCTCCTCAGTAAAAAAGGTTAAAGTGGAGCAGGATATTCGAGAGACCCAAGAGAGGGAGAAGGAACTTCGCAAGCAGAGGATGAGCCTGTACGGGTGCACAGGGGGTGCAAAAGGAGGAGGGAGGCCAGATAGCATAGAAGGAAAGAGTCTTACGTTGTCTTCGTCTTCAGCAAATGGACTGGCTGTTCTTGACTCTTCTGACTCATCATCCACTGGGGGAACTGGACCCTCAGCAGGTTAGTGAAGCACTGAATGCTGGGTTAAGGGTAAAAATGTGTGCATGTGGGATACAATTAATTCTGCTTGTGCTCACCAGTTCACTGAGACAGTGTGTTTGTGTGTGTGGATGCCTGTGTGCTGGCATGTGTGTTACTTTTATATCTGCAGCGAGATGATGAAAACCCCCTGAAACAACCCAGCCAGCACATTATTTCATTTTTCCCATTGTCAGTGGAAAACCTCAAAACAGCTTTCAGAACCAGTATTAGCTGCAATAATTTTGCACCGGAGACCATGAGCTGGCTGACAAGAAAATAAAATTCTGCAACTCCACAATAAATTTGGCATCAATTCTGAGATATTAATTGCAAAAGCTGAGGCAAGGAAAAGTCCTGAGTCATATCTTGACACCATTATGTCAGCAAAAAAGGAGTTCAATTCTGAGATGATGTCTAAATCCAGCATTCAAGAAGTGGATACAACTTGTGCTGCCTACTGTGGGAACCACTTATTAATGTGTGTCTCTGTGTGATTTCAACACTGCCGTAACTGTACAGGAGTGATTCCCAGTAAGGGTACATGAAACAAGGTCTCAAGGGATACTTCCACGGTGTCCTGGGGGTTTTAAAAAAAATTGTGGAGCTGCTCATCTAATTAAAACAACATATAAATTACAGTTTAATTAAACTAATATATTTATACATTGAACCAGCAGTCAGAAGTTCAAATGAAGCTACAAGTAAGTGATAAATTGATGGAATAGTTATAACTACTGGTTGTATTAGGTAAAAATTATAAATGAAAACTAGAATTACTGCCTCACACTTGAATGCCTCCACCAAGTCAAGTTCATAAGAATGGGATAGACATGAGATCAGAGTGGCCTTGACCTTTGACCTTTGACCACAAAAACTGAATCAGTTTATCCTCATGTAAATCCAAATGGTTGTTTGTCCCAAATTTGATGAAATTCCCTAAAGATGTTCCTGAGATATCATGTTCACTTGACCAGGCTGATGGACAGACAACCTGAAAACACATTTAAAGATCGAATGTGTGAATATATTTCCTTAAACAAATTGTGTAAAACGTGTAAGACAAGGCAAGGCAACTTTATTTATATAGCACATTTCATACACAGAGGCAATTCAAAGTGCTTTACAGAAACAAGGAAAAACAGTAACAGCATTAAAAGCAGTAAGCATTTAAACCAGCATAAAATCAGCTAAGACAAAGACAAAACACTGTTAAATGAGATAAAATACATAAAATGAAGATAAAAACTGACAAAATAAAAAAGAAGGTGCAGAAAGCACAGTACAGCAGAGAAACCAGTCAAACAAAGGCAAAGTTTTTCTTTGAGACTTGTAGCATGACTGCAAAATTGAGTAAGGTGACCTAAACAAACAGTTGAATAACAGGAAAAGCATATTTGAAAAATATCCACTTTTATATAATTGCCAGTGTTAAGTAACATCTATTTAAGAAACATTTTAAATGAACATGTTTCGAACATGAAGGGTGGTGCTAATGAAGTGTCATTGTATGTTTGTGTGTTGCTTGGCAGGAAGGGTTGCTAATCTATCTTTTGTGGCTGTATATGAATCAAAATGTGGTCATTCATCATAGTTGCGTGACATAGCTGTGTGACAGTCAGGCCAGGGTGTGCCTGGAATGACCGTGACTCAGTGTTAGGAGAGGAACAATTACATGTTCTTTTGTAGACAATGAGTTTTGACTTTTTTTTTATATTCCTTCATTTCTGGTGGCAACATTTTGTTTCTGTTTCACCATGTTCAGTCATGAAATCAAATCTCTCTACATTCCTCTCTGTCTCCTTTCATTTCTCTCCGCTTCACCATGTTCAGGGTTAATTTGATTCAAAGAAGCTTCATTGCTCACAGTGTGGAGCACAAACAAAATCATAGGAGCCACTTTGCCTCATTGCCGCCCTTCTCTTGGCTCATTCCGTCCTCACCCTTTTTTCTCTTTCTCTCTCTCTTGCAGCACGCCAGTCGGTTGGCAAGCTCGGCGTGTGGCCCCCAGCCCATGCTGAAGAGGAGAAGATTAACCAGCCACAGGTGAGTTAGTAAAGCCACTTTCCCTGTTGTAATAACATTTGGATGTTATTGTTTCCTTTATACTATTATTTTTCGAAGATTCTCTGAAATATTCGACCACATGGGAAAACACCAGGCTTCACAATGGCATCTAATAAGTATGTCTGCTCAGTAAATTAATACACCAACCTTATCTATGTGGCACACTGAAAGGGCAGGAAAATGTAGGCAAATTACCCTCATGAATTTCCCTCGAATTCAGCTAAGAAGACATCAGGCTTCACAAACGCTTGTACAACACATGCATTGCAATGTAGCTTTGGGGGTTCAATCAGCCTCTTGGCAGCATGAATATGAGCACATGTTTTAAACTGCACTGGGCCAAGGGTCCAAGGTAGATAGGCTTTTAGGAGAATGTCAGTGTCTCTTGTGAACCAAATATGGGCCACAAACATCTGATAACATACTGAACACACAGTAAGGAGCTTATCTTTGTAGATAAGGGAAGAAGGCAAACAGCCCTGAGACTGAGAGAGAGAGAGCGAGAGAGGGAGGAAGGGAGGGAGGGAGCGAACGACAGAGTCTGTACTGTGGGTTTGTGTGTGTGGACGGAGCCAATAGCAGAGAAAGAGGAAAGTGAAGTGATGATCCCACTGACTTCCATTACCTGCCTTGTGGGTCTCTGATCAGAGTGGAGTGATGCGCTGTGGCTTTAGCTGTTTAATCGAGTTACATGTTGATCTGGTGTAGCCACAAGCTTCAGTCTGACATTAGCATTAGCAATGTTTTGCTCTCTTTCTTCTTATGTCTCTCCCTCTGTCTCTCAGCTGGTTGGTTATTTGCGTGCTGCACTGACCTGGTTTCTGATTACATTTCTGATTGCATGAGAATGTGACCTCAGTTGTTGACTTGGTCATTCTGAACATGGCCTTGAAGGCATGTTAATTTATGTAGCACATTTTCATACACAAAGGCAATTCAAAGTGCTAAACACGATGCATACAAATAGATAAAACATGAATATGCATACATAGATAAACATTAAATGCGAATTAAAAGCAACAATTACATGACAGCACAAAGCAGCAACATGCTAGTGCTTTTAGGATAGCTATGGCAGCCTGGATCCTCACTGTTCACAGTTGCATTAACCTTCCTCTGACTTAAGGAGCTCATCAAGCTCATCCAAAGAGATGCTGTCTATAGGAAATCTCTCTCATTCTCATTTTCTATACCGCTTAATCCCAAACGGGGTCGCTGCGGGAGCTGGAGCCAATCCCAGCTGGCATCGGGCGAAAGGTGGGGTACACCCTGGACAGGTCGCCGGTCCATCACAGGGCCCTATAGGAAATCAATCCTTCTTTTTATGGTTTTGCTCTTCTTTCCTGTTGACTTGTTTGTCCCATCTTCTGCTGCCACACATCTGATGTTTCTGTTGTTTTGTTCATTTTCTGTTTCCACTTTCACAAAAAACTTCATCTACCTTGCAGTCACCATTTAATCCTGCTATCCTGTGTGCCCTTTACACTCAGGTCCACCATTGTCTCCAGAACTCCAGAGAGAAGACCCCTCTAGTACACCAGTGGGAGTCAGGCCTGGTCAACGGACACAAGGAGGAAGACAACTGAGGACACACTGACAGAGCAAGCTGAGGGAGGGACGGACATTTATAGAGATGCGTATTTTTGAAGCAGAGGGCCGAAAGACTGTGATATAAAACAGTGTTCCGGGCATACAGACTGGAGGAGAGAGTGGTGATGAAGAGGAGGAAAGGGAGATCATGTGATGTGGAAAAGAGGTCAGGGATTGAGATGAAAAGGTGGTCAGGAGGACTGAGAGCAAGGAAAAGGATTGGTGGTGGACTGAAACCCCTGAAGAGTCCTTCAGCAAAGAGAAACAGGAAGATGACAACCACCTATTAGTGGATAAACATATGGGCTGCTTCTGGTGCTGGAAAACTGAGACTAATGAATGTAAAAAGGCAAAAAAGATTATGCATCGGTAGTAAGGGAATGTAAGAAGAGTAAGAATGGGATTTTTAAACCTAAATGAACTTCTTTATCATAGGAAAAATAATGAGTTACTGCTGCATTTGTTGATAAAAAATACTATAGATTGAGTACTCGAGTATCTGATACTGTAAACAGCGCATCATCACCATGCTTTAAAAGATGTCTTACACTGATAGTGCAATCCGATAAAGCAGCCATGTAATAAGCCCTACCTTTATGTACAGTAGCTCATTTCATTCCGTTTTTATTGACTCTGAGATAGACAGTCGTTAATACAACTTTATGGTCATTTTAGAGGATGGAGTTCCTGGTGGGCTTGTATTTGACAGCATTAACCAGCTCGCTTTCTAGTATAGTTACTTACATAAAGAGACAATGTAATGAATCTCAAGTTAATGGGGACAGAAAGGCAGTGTACTGTAATGTTACTGTGTTTGATCGCATACTGCACATTGTTGGGAGTCATGAAAAGCTACTTGTTCTGTTATTTTTGTTGCATCAAGCTGGATTATAGTGCAATAAAATAAAATAAAGTGCAATGCTGATCTGGATTTCAGCTATGAGTAATGCCACATAATGCAAACCTAAAAACTGCTGCTTTGTTTTTTTTTTTTCAAATGGTGCAGTAAATTTTGGAACAAAACTTGATACATATGTTTAGGTTTGTCCCCTTTATTCCTTTATTTTTGTTTCAGCCTTAGTCAGACATGGCAGTAATATAGTCAGTGTTATTCCAGTAACTCATACTGAATGTCATTTTGCTAAGTGAGTGCTCTCGCCAAGTTCTTTTATTGCATAGTGTTTTGTTGTCCCACACACATCACTGCTGATCAAATTTATCTTTTCTTCTCAAATATTTCTTTTCTTATTATTAAAACCCAATATTCAGAAACATACTGAAGTGGTAGCCCCTTTCTTTTGCTGCAAACTAAACTTTTTAACTTTTGACAAAGGGGGCAAAATAGAAAAAACATTATAAATCATTATAAATGTTCTTTTTGTCTGCTAAAAGGTCATTCACAAGGCAAAGAGACGCACATTATGTTATCTTATGTAGTTACAGTACTTATGGGGTCAGAGACATGTACCTTCCTGATAAAATTTTTATGAACACACAACACTCCAAATATTTGGGATTTAATAGCAATCTACGTATTTACTGTAGGTGGAGTCTATTTAGAAGAGGTAATGCTACATAAAAAGTACTGTCAGGACAGTTCTCAGATATACTGCAAGGCTGCTTTGGTGGACTTCTGAAACATGTCATCAGTTCAAATTAATGATTATAAGCAATTCTCATAAATTTGGGTAATGAAGTTGATAAAAGAGAAAAACAAGGTCCAGTGTCTCCTGGACCCCAAATAACATTAAGGTTGTAGTGTGTATTTATCTCCCTGATCTGACAGAGCCAAAACTACAGTATGTATGTTTTGGCCACAACATAAATGCTACAAATCCTGTGTGATATCTTTATTTGTGTCCTTCACAAGTGGTTAAAAAAAATGTCACCATGGACACAGCTTTGGAAGATGCTCTCGGCTGTTTGAACTAAGCAGCATTAAATTCCTCAGTGGACCTCTGTGTGTGTGTGGATGGGTGAGAGCACGCTTTAGTGACCTCCCAGTCTCCTGTGAATAATTTATCACCTCATTCCGACTGGACAAAGCCCAGTGACATTGCAGCTACATTATTATTGGGGAGCTGCATCAACCTAAGTGCTCAAAATTATTAATAAGCTTACTCCTCACTATCCTCCCCCATACTGCCATGTTGCCAGGCCTGATGGCACATCACCAAAGGCCTTGGTATTTAAGCGATGTTTAGTTTTTTGGTGTATGTTACAATAAAATGCAACAAATGATACACATTCCCTACAAAACCTCTCTGAAAATACTAAATCAAAAATGAATTTTTGATGCTCACACCATCAAACATGGCAATGTGGATCTAGAATATTCTGACAGTGTGGCCAGGCTGGGGCACAGCCTCAGAGAGGGGTGGCACATTTGAAAAACACCAAAAAATTAAATCTCTAGATCTGTGAAATCATAAACCATAAATTATTAATAATCAAATTGTTTATTTTGTGTAAAAATCAGACACACATTGCTTTCTTTAAAGCACACACTGAGGTGAATATCATGTTGCATACATGATATAAAATTAAACTAATTTGACCAATAGCAACTATAACGCACCAGAATAAAAGTTAATTTTATTTAAGGCAACAAAATGTGATTGTTTTTCATTCTTCATTCATTAATACTGACAAGCATCACTTTTTGAATCTGGCACAAGTGGCACCAGGGTGGCCAATCAGAATCTGGGTGTGGTGGGTGGCACCTCTGGGCACCCCCTGGCTCTGCCCATACATAGAAACCTAACCAAGCAAACTGTTTTTTTAAGTTATCATTCACTCTGATATGTAATCTGGTAGCTGTCCCAATGTAGTGACACAGTAATGAGCCTGCACACCTGAATGTCACATGCTCAGCTCCAGACTCATTTCCATGATATTTCATTATCACTTTCTTTCAAAGTCCTGCTAGCATGAAACCACTGAAGCAGCAGAGCGTGAGGCAGTCAGTGTTTAGAGAATTACTGTAGTCACTTCTCTTGTAATGCCTCTGTCAAAAGGACAAAAAATATGAGAGGAGGTGGAGGGGTTGAGTATGTGTGTGTATTTGTGTACATTTGAGGTCTAACTACACATTGAAATGTGCTTTGTGTACTCAAATTAGTGTGTATTTGTCATGTGTGTCCAGGGGTGTAGAAGTAGGCTCTCCCTTCCAATAGGGAAATATACATACGTAATACTTGTTCCACCACCTGTAGTACCCACATGTATGAGCCATTAGGCCAGTTTCATCTGTCAGTACAATCTCATACCAACAATGCATTACGTGTTGAAGTTCACAGGCCTCCATGTCTTCAGGCAGTATTTGTCAACAGACAATGAAAGAGATTATTGTTTTGGTCTTTTCACATGGGCAGCTTTTGCTTGGTATGGGTGTGTGTTCTGCTGCTTTGATGTTTGAAAGGAGGGGGAATAAAATGACAGAGCTGAGTCACATACAATGAGCATTAACCCTTGACAGTGTATTTTTTATGCAGTAAGTGTTTTATTGTAAGGTGAGGAGGTGACGTGTGCTCTTTTGCTGAAAAACACATCTAGATCTTAACATATGAGTGTGGAGCATATAGTACATTAATGAGTAATCAATGACTTTTCTTCTGAACATAATTGATCCTATTTTTAAAGGTGCAGTGTATGGGATTTAGTGGTGATGCTGCAGATTGCAACATTCAGCAAAGCTTTCATGCATCATTTTAAACAGCCCCCACAGCAATTACTGTAACTGTAGGACAAATTGTGCACTTGGAAAACAAGTGCAGCTGACTTGTCCAAGCAAAAACTACTGGAACGTCACTTGATCACAGTGGGTTACTCAGCAATGGCCGTGTTCTAGCTGAAGCTATCAAACAAAAACTTGCATTTATGTTAACTCTCCTTGTTAGGCTAAATTACCTGTCCAGCAGAAAATGGGCAACTTTGGCATCATTTTGGAAACATTTGTCTCTCAGCAAGTATTTCTATCAGGGGAAGGACACACCAATGTTTATCCTCATCTTGTTCTGGGCTACTGTAAAAAACATGGAAGCTCAACGTGGAGGCCTCCATGATAGGGTACCCACTTCTATGTAGATATAAAAGGCTCTTTCAAAGATAGTAAGAAAGTTCTTATTTTCTGGTGATTATGCATTAATGAAAACATAATTTTGCATACTATAGCCTATTTCTGCTAATTAAACAAACTAATGCTTGATATTCAGAAGATTACTTCAAATTAAGGGATTTGTATTGCAAACGTAAAAAACATTTCATCCTCTGACATTTTTTGAGTTGTTCTAACAAAGATGTCAACATTTTTAGACAAAAATTATTAGGTAACCTGATTCAAAACCAGACAAAATGGCATCTGAAATGAAGATTGCTTCAGTGTTCATCACAGATAACCTCCATGAGCAGCATCAAGCAGTCATCTGACCTAGAGTCAGCCGGAGGTGTCACTTTGGTCCTGACCTGCTAAACACAGCAAATCATCGTATCAGGTTAAATTAAATTATGAACTCAATCTGGCTGCCAAAATGTTAAAGGTATAGATGAAATGCACACTGCCCACAGTCTTCTATGTCACCACACAGCTTCATGTTAAATCATTCCTTTAGCTAATGCACAACAGGAGACGCAGCAAGCAGTGGCATTAAAAGGTCAGTTATCATAAGTTTCAAAATTGCAAATGGCATTTAATATCAACCTGACTCATAATTCACTGTGTCGCATATGCATGCACAGAACCAGACAGGGTGAGGCTTTTACAAGCCAGTGTGGTGCAGGTGCAAATGAAGGTGCCATTCACTATAAAGTCAACAGTGTGTCGAACTCACATTGCTCAGGCCCCTTATTGTTATTCTGCCTCTTAATCAAACAGACCTGCCTATTGCCATTATCTGGAGCTGAATATCTTCTCTTTGTCTGCATGTGCTAGCACCTAACCACACAGGAAGTGTACATTTTGACTCGCACATAAAAAATCCATCAGCAACCATGACGCCCCTCCGAGGCAGACGTGTTTGCGGTGCCACTCTTGAATGCCAGCTTTTCCCTTAGTATTCTTCTTTTTTGTGTTTTTTATTCTTTCTGCAGTGCACAAATGTCGTCCACTGCTAATATACAACAGACAGGCATTGCTGGATATCGCCAACTCACACAGCCACTGGGAATTTACTGGTTTCATACCACCGGAGCTACAACTCATTGTTCAGTCCTGCAACAACAACAACCACCACCATCACCCCTGGGAAGCCCCTGAGGCACCAGGCACAAGTGAGCAGGCTGACCCAGGACAACGATCTGGAGACAGAGACGCAAACGGGGCAAGAGAGGAGGGCTCCATGCTAGGCTAAAAGCTCGTGCTACATGACCCCACTACCCAGCATCTTCCTAGCTAACGTACAGTCTCTGGAAAACAAATTGGACGAGCTAAGAGCTTGGATTACAACACAACGGTAAATAAGAGAATGCTGTGCTGTGAGATTTGGCTTTCTAACAAAGTCCCAGATTCCATGATTCAGCTACACACCCACTCTGTACATCAGGGAGACCGCATTGTGTTCTTGTGTTTTTATGTGCTTCCTTCACTTGCTGCTTTAAATTGCCTTAGATTTGTGATTTTACTGCCTATTTAGATTTGTGTTATTGCTCATCTACTTTATAATTCACTTGTATTATAAACTACATATAATATACTGGACTCCGTGGCCCCGATGAAAATCGTGCGGCCTAAAACTAGGATGGAACCCTGGCTTGGCCCTAGAACTCGTGTGGCCAGACAGATATGCCGCAAAGCTGAAAGAAGGTGGAAGAAGGATGGACTGCAAGTTTTGAAGGACTGTTGGCGCAACTATCAGAGGACTGTGGAAGAAGCTAAGCGGGAGTATTTGTCCAGTATTGTTGTAGCTAATAGTCATGATTCACGTGTATTATATAGAACAATCGGGATGGCGTTAAATCCCCCGCAGCCTGTCTGTCAGGAAGCAACGGTTGAACTATGTAATAAGTTTTTAGTCTATTTTAAGGAGAAGGTTGCTACTATAAAGGCCACTGTGGTTGGGTTAGTGCCCGATCCATCAGTCTTTACTCCTTGTTTGACTACTTTTGATGTTTTTGAGCCGGTAACT